TTCTCATACCAAAGAAACAGCGCAACCTTTGTACACCTGTGTCCGATCTTTCACTGTATTTAAAACAAAGGTCAGTAATACCAATCTCCAGTCTTATTCAGAAGAACGATTTAGATGTTCTATGTGTAAAACTGGGTACATTCATCCCTGTCCCTCAGTCAATGTTAATTTTCATCTTTACTTTTGTTTTCTCAAAACTCTTCACAGAGCATGTACTAACGGAGCCCCTTCATTGCTGGACGCTGCAGTCCATTCAATCTGTTCGTGTGGTCGTGTGGTGAGCAAACACTGAAAAACTAGATGTCTAGAAAGACATAAACCAGCAGTGAAGCTGCTGAATCCCCTGCATCATCTCCTAACTTAGTCTGTAAGGTATCCATCTGCAGTTGAGGAATCCCATTGTGGAAACTTTCAGATCTTGCTGCCGAAAGTATTTATGCAAAAGAAAGAAAGAGTGGGCCAAGTGGCTTTCCAAACACACTGTGTTACCTTTGGCAGAGGGCATCAGCAGCTCATAACCCGAAGGCTTATGTCATATTTCTGGGAAACAGAAACTGACATTGTTTCCCGTGAAGGGCTTGTCCTCTACAAGGTGCTAAACTCCTTAATCTCTCAAGTTCATCTCCGTGCTTCCCGGTGGTACTTCAGGAGGGAAGCTGAGTGTTCTGTAGAAACTCTGTAAATTTCACGAGCTCACAGCTGATTTGAGAGCAATCCAAGTGGACGGTGTTAGATCAAACGCTCCCGCCTCAGGTAGCTCTGGGTTGACCTTCTCTTATAGTGAAGGACTTGCGGAGTGTATTAGTTTTTCATTGCTGTTATGACAAATTGCCAAAACTTTAGTGCTTAGATAGAAGACTGCTATTGGCTTACAGTTTAGGAAGCCAGAGTTTAAAATAGGGCTGAGAGTAGAACCTTCTAGAGAACCTAAGGAGTTTGCCTGCCTTTTGCAGCTCTCAGTCGTACCATCCCATGGTGTTGCTTGGCCCATGGTCCCTCTACCATCCCCAGAGCCCACAGTGCAGCATCTTCTGCCTGTCTGGCACTCGCCTCCCTCTTACAGGGATCCCTGTGATTACCTTTGCCGACCCAGGATAAACCACACATAAGATTCCTTTCATTTATACTTCTGGTTTCAGGGATTAAAACATAGACATTTTAGATGTTCATTGGTCCACTTACTACAGTGAGTAGATTGCTCTGTATTTCTGCTCAGTTTTTGTCTGAGCCAAGGTCTACATTGGACCTAGAACCCCTGAGCTAAGGTGATCCCCCTAACTTTGCCTCTCTTCCCATAGTCAGGAATGAGGTATGTGCCATTGGGCCCGAGTCTTTCATTTTTAACATAAAAACTGCAGTAATTTTTATTCTACTGAGTTGTTGTGAAAATTAAATAAAATTGCATACACTGTTATATATCACTACTATAAAATCACTGCACTAAGTGATCAAGGAGCTTTGCACACATTCATGACAAAGATAGTCCTGATCTGCGCACAGAGAGAGAATTTAAATCAGTAATTGCAAAAATAAATGTGTGCTTGCAAGCTACGATTAGTCCTGGTAGAGAATAGTGAGGAGTACTTGGCAAACTCAGGACAGCCTGTCTGAGCAAGGAGCTTTTAATTCAGATTTTATGAATGACATGGAATTGCTTAGTTGAAATGAAAATGTATGAAAGAACATTTCAGAAAAAGAAAAACTATGCACAAAGTTGCACAGTAGGAATCAGTGTATTCCCCAAATCTGAAGGCGTGGGAAGAAGTCAGGAAAGGATGTGCTCACATATACACAGAGAGCGCGGCAGCTTGAACTCAGAAGGGTTCTGTGGAGATGCTGGGCCAATCCTAAGTGCAATGACGTGAGAGCTATCTGCTAGTTGAATAGACACAACTCGGGGTGCTCCATAGAGAATACCAGGAGGGATACCAGGAAGGAGAGTTGGTCTTAGTCCAGGAGAGAAAGGACAGAGCGTCACAGGCTGGCTCCTGCTGAGGAAGTCAGCAGGCAGGTGGTCAATGAGAACCTAGTGCCTGAGGACCAGCGCTCTGGGAGGAATGAAATGAGGTCAAACAGGGAGATCTCAGTTCATACTGCAGATGTTCCAAAGCCCAGTGGAGCCCTCAGAGTTGTGACAGGTGAAGAGGTGAGATTTTTGACCCTCATGTTTATCAGCCATTGAGCACAGATCTTCTAAGAAAGGGAGAGGGACATCAGCTCCTTTAGGGATGGTGGCCCCCAAAGGGGCTGACCACTGAGGACAGGGTGAACTCTGAAAGGGCATTTGGGATTGTGCATGTCAACATCCCACATATGGACGCAGGGCCCAAAGAGTGGTAGTTGAAATGGAGGGAAAGCAAACAACTTTGAGAAATATATTTTGTAGCTAGAATTACAAGAACTTTGTGATGGGTTACACACACGGGCAGGAAAAATAGGACACATCAAGAATAATAGCTAACATTTTACATCTACAAGAGAATAGAAATGTGCACCATGGTTTTGTACAGTTGTACCAATGGGCTAGATAAACAAATGAGTCTACGCCTCAGAGGACGGGTCTAGGCTGGGCACCAAAATCTGGGAGTAAACAGTGAGTAAGATGTAACCGAAGTGTAGCCTACATAATAATCACCTAAAGAAGACGCACCAAGGAAGCCTTGAGCTATCATGATTGTCACATTATGTACATTTCTTGTCATAGTGTTTGGTATGATAGTAAAACCCCAGTACATCTTTGTAACAGAATAATCACTTTTGCATTAGCTACAGAAGTGGGCCTTAAAAAGCTGTTAAATAAGCCAGTAAATTCATAGTCAGAGACCTCAGAGCACAGGTTCTTCCATGGAAAACCCGAGGCCTGCATCAGCTGTCATGGTTGCTGAGGCCAATGGCCGCCAAAGGAACCCACAGAAGCCGTCTTGGGAAGAAAGCTGGGCTTCAGTCCACCTTTCGTTCCTGGCCACTTGATGGTTCAGCAGTCTCCTGTCTTTACCTTCACGATAGACCCAGAATTGGAAGGGGACCAAAAGATGGAGGAGAAGGGAGGGAGAGAAAGGGAAGACAAGATGCGCTAAGAGGGATCATGTGCATGTACTAACTCCCCACGATGAATACAGTCCCCTGTATTATAAGCATGTACTAATAGAAGGTTTTTAAAATAGACTCAGAATTGTTACACTTTCATAAACATTCCTTGCCTGGATTGTCTATTGTAGTGTTGGAGGTGCAACCTAGGGCCTCTTCTAAGCAAGGGTTCTGCCACGGAGCCCTTGTACTATCTTAAAAATTTCCTGACTAATATTCTTTCTCCTTTCTCTCTGCTTGATTTCCCAATTTATTCTCTGCTAAGAAATAAGTTATTATTTAAAGTTGTAAGTGAAATGGTGCCATTTTTTGTCTTAATTCCACAGAGGCTGACCACCCCATGTAGAACAAGAGCCTAGCCCAGCACCAGAGTTGGGGCTACACGCTGGGGCCCGCCTCCCCATGCTGAGCTCTGGGCCTGGCGGCCACGCGCTCACCCCCCCCCCCACCTGCAGTGTGGCCCTGTGCTCACACTGTGTTCTTCCTCATGCACCCGTGCATGTGTTTGTCTCCAGCCCCCTCACTTACTGCGCCCTCTGCCTAACGTTCCCTGTGACAGGTCATCCCTCCCACAGTGCCGCACCAGAAAAGCCACCCCTCGCAGTCCGTAAAGATCTCAGCTCCCCTCTTCCTGTCCTGCGACACCCTCACCACCCCCCTCCACTCCTGCACAGCTGTCTCAGCATTTCCCTCTTTTCCCTGACAGCGCGGATTCTCTACATGTGTGTTTTCCTAGTGTCTCATTGCCCTGGGATATAAATTTCATTAAAGTAGGAATTCCTTGGCTTTGTTTTCTTTTATTTGATTTGCTTGATTTCTGCTGTACTTTCAGTGCCTAGAGAAGTGCAGACTGGTGCTATGGCTTTAGTAACATTACCTGAATACTGAGAGAGGACAAAGCAGTAAGCGGACGCGTGTGCAGAAGGCTCTTCCTCAGGCTCCTAGCGAGCATCTCCACACTGTCTCCCTTTATGCATATCCCAGATCGGACTTGAGTACGGGGGGTAAGAAATGAAGCTCTGTCCTCTCTTGGAGAGTGAGAAGGTTGTCTGGGCTTTGGCTTATTGAAGGACTCTCCAGTCTGTGTGGTCCTCCAAAGCACAGGGCATCTCCATGCCTCAGGGCACTGGCAGCCTAAATCTTGTGGAAAGCAATAATGATGACTTTAAATCCTTTTGAAAAAGCTATTGTGTTAAGTCTGGGTAATTCCAAAATCAACCTTAAAACAGAAGATGGACTCCTTACTTTTGAATATCGGACCCACTGAGCTGTGTGTAACTTTCCCTCCCTGCTCTTTTGATAGCTATGAGTGTTCATACCTGTGTAAACTGAAGGAGATATCCTCTGTTGGTATTATTACTAAGCTACAGTCTAGTTCAGTAATTACAGATCAGCACCTGCCAACAGTCGCTGCATGCGTGGCTCCGGGCTGCCCTGGGTCCCTGTCAGCGGGCTCAGGCTGCTCTGCTTGGTAGTGAAGCTTCCTCTCCGTAGCTCTGTCTGAGTGGGGCCGTCCAAAGGCCACAGGCTGAGCTGCAAACGTGTGGGCTGCATGTTTACAGCTTCTTAGGTAATTCAAACTTGCCTGAGGCTGGTAGATCTCGTTCCATTGTTATTTGGAAAGACTGTGAAAGAATCAGTTACCTGTTGCTGTTTTATCTTTGTATTCTCTCAGTTTTCACTCTTTTTAAAGGGGCCCAAGTCTGCATCATCTCCTGCTGCCCAGGATGTGAAAATTCCGACAGCCCTGGCTGTGATCTCCAAGCACAAGTCCTGGCAGCACTTTACCCCCGGAGAGCAGCACACTGGCATCTCAACTGTTAAAGCTGTTAGTGGCTGTCCTTCCTTGAGATCACTCTGATGTCACCAGTGTAATCTGATCCGGGAGCTTTTGTTCACACTTTAAATAGCAGTGCTGGAATGATTTTGCCACAGACTTTCTGGAGAGCTGGGAGCTGAATTCCAGGGGATCCCCACGTTGATGAGAGAGAAAGGGAGCCAGCAAGCCATCATGTCCATGTCGCTGCGAGTCAGCCCGTCCATCCGCGGCTACCACTTTGACACGGCCTCCCGCAAGAAAGCTGTGGGCAACATCTTTGAGAACATAGACCAGGAGTCACTACAGAGGCTCTTCAGAAACTCTGGAGACAAGAAAGCAGAGGAGAGAGCCAAGATCATCTTCGCCATAGATCAAGATTTGGAGGAAAAAACCCGGGCCCTGATGGCCCTGAAGAAGAGGACGAAGGACAAACTTCTCCAGTTCCTGAAGCTAAGGAAATACTCCATCAAAGTTCACTGAGGATACAGGATGGCGAGGACCGCATCCAAGAATGAGCACCCACCAAAGGACTCAGTAAGACTGAGATGCCCAGCGGGCAGCGTGCTGTGGCTGGCTGTATGCGTCTGTCCTGTCAGAGCTCCGAGTGCAAAGGGACAGAACTGACCAGCCACCTTCAGCCCGTGCTGTCAGTGGCGACAAAATGCCTTAGGAGGGATCTGAGAACTCTCCCTGTTGGCCAAGACTGGTGCTGGTGGAGGAGGCTGGCCCTGGCTGGGAGATCTGAGACCCTGGATGCTGGAGGACACATCTGTGGGGTCGTGCTCAGGCCCTGGGGCTCAGGCTCAAAAGGACTATTTTTCTTCTTCTTTTTCTCCTTTTCCTTCTCTTCCTCCTCCATTCTCTTTGTTTTTGTTTGTTGTTGTTTTGTTTTGTTTTAAAAACCGAACCAGGAAGGCAGAGGGAAAGGAAGAAGGGAATGAGAATATTAAGCATAAATTGTTTACTGAATTTTTTATCTGAATGTAGACGTGGCCGAACCTCAGTGTTATCTGTTGGTATCGATTTTGAGAGATCAGTTATGGGTTATTTATTTGCATCTATCACAGCGCCTAAAGAAGTGCTGCACAGAAGTGATCAGTGCAAACAGAAGGAATGTGGTGTCTTTTGTGGCTCAGTAAACCTAACGCCACCTCCTGGCTGGCTATAAAGTTATTTTTATACATTTTAAGCAGGTTGCACAAACCTAAGATAATGGGCTTCTTTTTCAATCTGAAGTACTGTGAAAAGTTTATACTTTTTTATCTTCCGCTAATGCTAAGGTATCATCTAATTACATGTCTCACATTACTGTAATAAGCATTAGGAAGTTAACATGGTATAGTTTATAAAGATGCTGTGGTTTCTATAATTTATTATACATGACAAGTGGTATGCAACTCTATAATAAATTATTATAAACTTAGCTGGTTTTGGTCTGCAATGCTTTATGTCAAAGAAAAACATAAGATGATAAATTTTGAGTGCAATACACTTTTCTGAAGAGCTGACTCTAAAAATAAAAGCCAACTTTGAAGTAGCTTTTATATTAATTACCAAACTTTTTCAAAATAAATTCTCATGCCAAATATCTTGGAAAATTTTTCTCTCCACTTTAAAACATAAGAAATAGATATATGAATTCATAAAATCACTCATCCTCATCGTTGTTTATGTAGGCATGAATGGTGAACTTTAAAAGGCTTTCTCTTTACATTTTGGAAATCTTTCCTCTGTGGCTATAGCAGTTATATACATGCATGCATTTATTTTTCCTTAAGCAGTATATCTTAGGAACAAAGTCTAAATTATTATTAAGATTTTGTAGGTTATCATTGTTTATTTAGTGTAAACTAGTATGGGTAAAATGAACCCTTTCTTTGTTTATTTTCTCATAAAATTATAAAAATTAAAAAGACACACATCAATGTCCCTGTGCTTTACCGACAAAGAAATAGTAATTCCCTAGCAATTAAACTTTTCAGAAATAATTGCAAAGTTTTTTTTAAATACCAAAGGCAATAAATCCAAACAAGTAAACTATTTAAAATCTCGTGGGAGGATTATAAGTCAGGATTTTAAGCATAATTTTTTTAAAAAAGAAAATGAATTTATAACACCTATATTCAACTTTTACCTCATTTACTGAAAAATGTTTAAAAATCACTACAGTAAAGATATTCTTTCCAAGAATACATCCTTGACAATCATGCATTGATAAGCAAAATGTGTGTGTGTATGCTCACGTGTGCGTATGCACACATATGGCAGGAAAGAGCCTCTCACCCCCGCATGCCACATCAATGAGAAGCTCCAGGCATTTCCTCCTGTGAACACAGTCCAGAGGTTACATTTGTTACTCACCTTTGTAACTACTCCTGGTGCCACTGTGGTTTCAGTGCCGGGCAATGCATAGCTGATTCTCTTTTCCCATCAGCATGGATCACAATTGTTGTCTTCCAATATTTCCAATATTGGAAGAGCAAAGCACGGGAAACAAGTTAGAAAGGCGGACGGCTATGATCCACAGCAGTGCAGAGGATGCACAGTCTTCAAGTGGATTGCTACAGACATGTTTTTTCACCCTGGTGACTAGCAAAGGGTGGCATCACTGTGAGAGAACAGCTGTGGCGTCAGCTTCATTATACATGTATTATTTAGTGCAGGTGAAAACAAGCAGCATTAAAACAGAGAGGACCAGTTCTGTTCCCTTCCATCAACAGCAGGGGGGTGGTCAGACAGATCTCAAGATGTCTCAGTTAACAGACAAGGTAAGAACAGTAGGGCTAAACATCTCACGAGAAACATTTGTCCTGTTAGAACCCTAACAATATTAATTAAATTTCACAGAGCATTTACTATTGGCCAATTTTCTAAATCCATGTGTGTTAAATCATGCGAGTGCTGAGACACAGAGCATAAGAGCACGCATGTGTAAACATGTGCACTGAAACACATGTATGTTTACATGCTGCAGGGGGAAGGTATCTGCCTTTGATAATATTAGTTGTATCAAGCGTTTCTCAGCTGCAACCTTTCCAGACTGCACCTACAGTAAGCCTGTGTTTGCTCCAGCCAAAGGCCATGCTCAAGTACTCCCCAGCAGCCTGTGGCCTAGGCACTGAGTCTGGACTGCCCGCTGGCACGGGAGAAGGCACGGGTTTGCTCCCCACTTTCCACTCACACAGCTCATCAGTGACCCCAGGAAAGAAGCTGAGCCTGTCAGATGTGATTTACTGAGAGCAAAGCCCGGGAGAGGCGTCCCACTCTTCTTTGCCCATAGTCAGAGGGTAATCAGAGGATGCCACCGATACTTTCCTGGAGAGTCTTACCTGCTAACAAACATGATTGAGCTGTGGGATGGAGCACTATGCCCTTTCAGGGTACCTCAGCCTTTGAGACTGCCCTTGGGGGGAACCCTTTGGTTCCCTGGAGTGGTGCGGTGTTCGTCACCTCTGTGCTCAGGCACGAGGAAGTGCAGGGTGCAAGCCACATTTGTGCTTTAACTCCATCCATGCACACAAGTCTGCCAACGACCTCAGAGTGTGAGTCAGGGTGGCAGAGGAGATCCTGGCTCTCCTTTGCACAGGTACTGGAAAGTGCCCTTACAAGATACAGTGCAATAGGAATTGAAATAGGGTGCTAGGAGAGAATGGGAGAGAAACCATGGGTATTATGGTGTATGTCCACGTCTGAGTGTGTCTGTGCGTGTGCCTATATGTCTGTGTGAGGGGCACACTCAGTCTGCATGTCTGTGTGGTTCTGTGTCTGTATGTGCATGTCTATGAGTGTGGATCTGTGTTTTTGTGTGAATGTCTATGCATCTATGCATGTGGCCATGTAGCTGTGTGATGTGTACTTGTTCACATGTGAGTGTGTGTCCAAGTGCATCTGTCGCTGTGTGTCTGAGTACCTGTGTCTGTGTGTGTGTGAGTGAGTGTGCAGCTGTGTGTGTGCTTGGGGATCAGCAGGAGAATGCATGAAGTTTTGCCCAACCTTGGGAGATTCTGGAAGATTCCACAAAAAATTCTCTCCGTTTCGATGTAAGAGCTGGCCACATAGATATGGCCTTTGCTAGGGGAAGAAGAGGCAGGAAGGAGTGGATGAGTTTAAGAATCTTCAGTTCATTATGACTGGGGGGCCAAGGGATTCTGAGGGATAATTAGATAACTAGGTCTTAAATGATGGGGCTGGGTAGTGAGTTTGTCCTGAAGGGAACATTAGGAACTTCAGCGAGAGGAGCAGCATTTACTGCCTCGCCTAGGAAAGGACGTGATTAATATTTGGAAAGACATTGCCACATCCAGACTGAACTCATGGTCAGACTCTATATGTTCCTTCCAGAACCTAGTGTACTGGGCCTTTGCAATTCAGTCACAGTGCACAGCTTTGTGGCAGCTAGAGATGAGACGGAAAAGATTATGAAGGCTGGGTCAGACTGGAGAAACAGCAAACTAACAGATTCAATGTCAAATGTTTAAGAAATTGTGACTATGCCTAAGCTTTATGATGAGTCCTAGAATTTAAAGAGTTTATGAATCAAAGAGCTACTAAACTTTTTCCTCACTTGGAAAACTCTTCTGCAAGTAAAGTCTGCTAATATTTTAATGATTATCACAGGAGCACGCTGCTGTGCTCTACTCCAGCGTGTACACTAAAGGTGGTGGTGGGTCAGCAAAAATTGTCCTCCAGAATCTGGAAGATTCCACTCTGATAAAGTTTCATAGGGGTTTAGGAAACGGGAATCACTGGGCATGGTAGCACACACCTATAATCCCAGATTGCCAAGAGTTTGAGATCAGCATGGGCTCCATAGTAAGTTCAAGGCCAGCCTGAATTGTAGATCGAGACCTTATCTCAAATACATAAATGAAAATCAAAATAAAAAAGGGAATGAGTAGGCAGAACACTTTGTTGTAGCCATCACTGCTACTACTACCACCACACACACACACACACACACACACACATACTCACTCCCATGCACAAGTGATCACACACACATACTCTCGGACACATCCATACAGGCACACTATGCTATCATACATTCACATGTATGCGCACACAGCCACACACTGCCCCAGTCACAGGCACGTGGTGGGCACACGTCCTGTGGGAGCACAGCCTGGCCCTCCCCGACTCTCTGCTTCCTCCTCGGTGGCCAGAAGGAGCGTGGAGAGCAGACACCACCAGACTGAACCCGGGATTTTGGGGTTTTTCCAGACTCTGACTTGGGCAAATTCCTATTTTATCTCTGGTTTCCATCTGTAAGAGAAAAACATTCGACTCGATGACAATCATGACCTCTTTTTGTTCTCCTCGCCTGTACCAACAGAAACCATAACTTCCATAACCCAGCCTTTCACGAGAGGACCTCTGTGATGACTTGGCATTCCACGTACCGCAGGAATTTCTGTTCACTGCAGCAAAGAGCAGGGCAAAGCTTTTGATCATTGGCAGTGGCTGCCAGAGGCATCGGCCAAGGGGAGGGCAGTCACTTTCCGAAGACACCTGTGTTCTGGCCAGCATCCCTGGTCTGCACGGTGAGGGCCACTTGCATTTTCCACAGCCATCAGTCACAGAGGCCCCGTGGCGATCTCCTCTGGTGGTGAGAAAGGTAGTCATCTGTGATGTTTTAAAAATACGCATTTTGAGTTCCAGACTCTTTGGGCCTCAAGCCCATGTCTATTTTTATAAAGCTCTACAGTCACTGGTAGAGAACACCCGATCGAGCAAAACACTTTATCGTAACACTGGGTCTCCCATTACTGGCAATTTCTGATGTAAGACCAAGAAAAGAACTTGGTTTCATGCCATTAGTGTTTTTCTTAACATAGTAATTCTGTCATTCATTGAAAATTAACCAAAAAGATCATACTTTGAGAAATATACAATTACTTTTGATTTTAATAACTGCAACCTGTGCAGATCAGTGTTCCTGGTACTCTACTGGGATGTGTCTTCCTTCAGTTTCTGCCTGATAGAAATCAATTTGGATATATATATGATTTAAGAGAAAAGTCCTCTTTTGACCACTGCCTTTTTTTAGCCTCCTGTAATCTGTCTGTTCATAAAGAAAGCCCAGATTTGCTCAGCAGAAAGGTTTCAGAGAATCCTGAGGATGCTGTACAATTCTGGAAGCTACAGTACCTGAAATGCTGTTTTTGAGGAGTATCTTCCTCCATGGAGACTTGGGATGCCTGGGGCAATGCACTTGTTCCTGCTCCTACTTATCAGAGTCTCCCAAGGAGCACTTTGAAATCCAGACCTCTGGGTTTAAGGATTCTAAGTTTCTGGGGCTGAGCACCCGCTATCTGCTTTCTGCACGCTCTCCCCAGGTGAGGCTGCTGCTCGGTCAGGCTGGGAACCACTGACCTGGATTAGTCACAAACTGAGCTCAATGTGAGGACCTGACTTATTCTAATTCATCCGCATCAAACTGTGCACATTGTACACATTGATGCTGTGCATCAAACTCAGCACCATTTGTATTAAATGGCTGACCTAGAGGTGACTGGTCCTTTATCATAGAACACATCATTCTTATCATCACTAATCCAAATAATGCCATTAGTTTTACTTTGCTTTAAATTCTATTTGTTCTAGGAGCTCTGACCCCATCATAGCAACCCAGAGTGATTGCACTAGTAACAAAATTTCCATAACACATTTATCTTAGCAATCACAAAATATTTTCCAAAAGAATGAAAAGCTTAAAAGCTTGTCTCTGCTTTAATGTATGTACCACTGCCTGAATCTAAAGATTCATTTCTTAGACCAAGCGATTTAGTCTTTTATAAAGGAAGATTTAGCATTCATTGCTAGGACTTGCTTATTCAAGTGTATCAGCCCTAAACAAAGCACTTTCCTCCTAGTGGCGATGATCTGCCACTGAGGTAACATGGATTCAGTCTAAGTGGGAGTAGCGGAAAAGGAAGATGGAAACCAGGACGGCAAACATTTGCTCTGGGTAAGGGAGGAACAACAAGGTGGCAGGAGTGGGGGTGCCCTGAAGGAATCATCTGCTCTGATTTTTCTTAGTCCTGGTCTTGGCTGTTAGACAGCTACACAGAGCGATGCATGTTAAAAAGATGAATGCAGCAGGATACAGGGTTTATGAAGTCCTGAGTTCAAATCCCGCCTGGTAACACCCAAGTCTTTAGTGAATAATTTAATCTCAAGCTCTCTTACTCATCCGCAAAATAGAGATAATAATACTAACTATACTCATTTTTTAGGGATTCAAAAACAAAACACCACTGACCTCATCGCTCAAACTACAGATTTTTCTCTTGGTTCTGGAGGTAAAGAGTTTGAGATCATGGTTGGCTCCTCCTGAGGCCTCTCTCTGTGGCTCATAGACAGAGGATTCCCTTGTGCCTCACACACTCTTTTCGCTGTGCATGTCTGTACTTAATCTGTTTCTCTAAATCGAAGTGTTCAAAAAATACAGTAAATGTTTGAATTTTTACATTTCTACTACAGCAAAAGATACATTAATACCCATGAGTGTTATCCCCCTCGGTTTAAGCACATTCATCCCATCACTCTTCCTCGTCACTTTCTGGAAGGAGTTCTAGCCGTCCTCTCTCATGACTTTACAAGTGCAGGAAAATTACGGTGAATGCTACTGTTGACGGCCACCAGCAGGAAAGGATGTTTGTAAAAACACCACAGTGTACCCTCGTCTACCTTACTCTCTGGACCTGTACTGTGGCCTCTGGCTCTTCCAACCCAGCACACTGAGACAGCTATGACAGTGAACTAGAGACCCTTGTGACTGCCAGCACTGCTTCAGAAAGTGACTAGAATGATCAGTAAGGATGTCAAGGCGAGGGGAATTACCCAGCTTTGAGGGGCACCCATGGTAATGTGCCTTTCACTGTAAGTTTTCTTTAGTTAAAAGCACACCTTATTTTTTAAGCACACCTTGTGTAACAGTTACATTTGATTAATGTTCCCTTTGGCAATCTTATTTTAACTTTATGATCCTTCTTTTTCAAAATCTGGCTCCAAATACAGTTACATCCTTGGGGGTAAAAACATGAATTTTGCTTGGGAGCACAATTCTCACATAGCCTCTGTGCCTATCTCTCCTCATCCATGTCAGCATAACATAAAATAGTATGTGTGAAAAGGCTCAGAGGTATTCTTTGTTCCTAGTTCGGCATTACAAAGCTTCTAACCCAGAGCTAAATGTGGGATGGGCACTTCATAAGTGTTTGCGAGGGTTTTTAAGGTACTCATACATAGCACTTAAGCACAAGGCATTCGTTTGAAGTATTGACTTGGTTCAATCTGCCTACGTTTTGCTTCCCTTCGGTTTTGGTCTCTTCAGCATCTCAAAGCGGGGCTCCCTCCGCAGTCACGGGGAAGAAGCCTTGTGGATGCCAGCGTCCTGCCAGGGCTCATTTCTGCCACTGAGCTCTTCCTTGGCTTTCCATTACATGAATGGCCTCAAAAAGTGCTGTGGACTGAAGGACTTCTCTGAACACACGGGAATCGAGTTTGCTGATAGCACCTCGCCCTGTTCTGGTTAGTTCCTGCACCTTAATTAGAAATCAAAGACTGAGGACTCCTATCCTCCTTCCAGACTCTGAGCACCACTCTACTGGTCACTGCCACCACGTGGGCATTTCATTTCATGTTGGGCCACATGATCCACAAAGCAAAAGATGGCAGTGGTGGTCACAGAAGTAACTTTATATCTCTCACCGCTATGGCAAGGACTTCAGAATAAACAAAATGGCTTAGGGAGTTCTATAATCTGTGCTTGAGAAGTGTGGGAAACTGGGCTAAAGCCTCACTCTGTGGTTAGAGCTGGATGCTGCTGGGTATTATCTAATCTTAATCAGTAAAAAAGCTAAGTGTGTATCATACTCACTATTAATGTGTCACTGAATAATTATGTAATGAAATCAATTGACTAAAATAAATCAACCAAGCAGCTGTAAGATATTTTATGAACAAAGTAACCATCTGAATGGTTTTTAGCTTTAAACATTGCACAGGTATGAGCTAATGTTCTGATTTTCTTACTACATTTAGAAGAAGAGGACACTGGTATATGCACCTTGCTTGTGGGATCAAAAAGAGCAAATGATTTTCTAGTGAGTATCTGGCCTGCCTTATGGATTCCGCTTTAGAAAGACAGCATAAATTGAATTTTGTTCCCCACTGAACAGATTGGATACCTATCTCAATACCTATTCCTTTGTAGCTATTTATTTATTAGTATAAACTGATACAAGAAACTGATTTTAATTTAAATAGTTAAAAGCATGTTGCCATTAGACAGACTTGCAAAACTTCTAGACAAATGAGACCTGCTGGGTGCTTGGCCAAGCCCAGCACATCTAGATGTAACTCCACTAGAAACTTTGTCTTTTTATGAAGGACAACCAGAAACTCAGTCTTTCGGGTACCAGGTTGAGAGATGTTAACCTGGCATGTAGTACAAAGACTTTACAGAAGTACCAAATATAAGTGAATAAAAAGAGAGATCCAGGGTTCTGAGGACGGCTTTAGCCTGGTCTTGATAAAGCTGGAGGAACCACAGACCTCCCTCAGCTGCCGATTCCAAAACATTTAGCTGGGCCGCATAGCAAACCACCCCAATACTCTGTGACCTACAGTGACCACCACTCTGTGTAGCTCAGGACTCTGTGGGTGGTATGTGTGTCCTGACTGGGCTAATCTGCCTGTCTTGGGAAGAGCTCTGCTGTCACCCATGGACACTGGAAGTTCAGGTAGAGGCTAAGTGATGTAAGAGGAACTCCTGTGTTTTGTGATTGACAAGCTCTTGGCCAGGGCATCTTGACAGGTTTCTGCTATTTTATGCAATCCATCCCCTGTGCTCTTAATCCCTGTGCTAGAGAATCATTTGTCAAATCCCACCTTTTTCTCCACCCCATGTAGAGACATAATGTGAAGGTCCACCTGCTCTGCAGTAGCGACCTTCTTAGGAATCAGTGTGCCAAGTTACCTTATTCCGAGAGGACTCTCACTCCAGGCCATTATTCCTGGGACCAAACCTAGATTAGTTCATCAAACTCAATCTTTTTTTTTTTTTTTTAGAATGTTTTATGTTTAGCTAAGTCCATCTACAAAATTCAGTCACTTTTGCAGATATGCTAGCTACTTTCTTCCATAAAGTATGAGAATTAAAAATGTAATAATCAAAAAATATTCGTGATTGTTTTTCTGGGATTCCTTGAGACTTCATTCTCAGTGTCACGTACCAAAGACAGAGCCAAGTCTTCTCGTGCCACTGGCGCTGAGATGCATAGGCTGAAATGCATATCTGAAAATGCTCCTCTGATTAACCTCACCCTGTAGACAGGCTTTAAAAATAACTGCCTGTTCTGTTCTCTGGAGGAGTGGACACTGAGGGACCCTGGCCTGAGGGAGACAGGCTGACTCAGGGAGAAGAATTAATGGAAGCCCAGGGCTCCTGCAGGGAGGAAATGCTTTGATAGGCCTTTTCCTCTTTTTGTTACCCAGAGAGCCTTGACAATAGGCTCCACTGCGGAGCAGAGGCCGTCCTCCATGTGATGATCACAGCACATTTTCCCGTTGTCGGACAGGGAGTCTGCAGTGAGCAGTGCTCAGGAAGGGACAGGCACCAGGTCAGGACCCGCCCTTGAGGCTCTGGTCAGGGAGAGGGTGGAGACCTCGCGTCCAAAACGCACACAGATTCCCCGCGGCCCACATCTCAGGAAGGCCATCTGCTTCTGCCGTTCCTTTGACCTTTTGTTAGAACCCACCCTCCTTGGCTCGAAAATGCCACTAAAACATCTGGGACCTGCAGCAGTTTTACACCCTGGTCTGAAAGCAAGTGAAATCAGGTTAGTAGTAGAGCTTTTAGGGGAGTTTCTCCTAGGCGCCCAGTGTTAGGCTGGATGTTGGTGGGAGAGGTTAATCTTTTCAGTCAATAGTGTCAGGACTGCAAAAAGATAATTTCACTTAATGTTTTCAAAGTTTCTGAAAGACAAATAATAGTATCTCCACTTCGCTGGTAAGGACCTCGGCTCTGGGAGATCCACCAGTTGTTTTGATGCAGCTTGACTTCCTAAAAAGGAAGACAGAATAGAAACTGAGTCTTAATAATGTATGTATGAGTTGATTTTAGTTCTTCTGTACACCTTGCTTTAGAAGTTCTTACTGTGTATTTCTGTATCAGTATCTGAGATTCCAAGAAACACTGGAGCTGTGGACACCTGGCTTTTGGCCTGTTCAGATATGTGACATGGAATAAACCACTGAATTTACTAGATTCAACTTCCTCTGTAACATAAGAGATAAGAACTAAATGAACTTACAGCCTTTCTTATTCCTAAATTGGTAATTGTTTTAAAATTTGGTATGCATTTCATTGCCATTAGGATAACTACTTTAAAAAAATAGAATAACACTAGTAACTCAGGAGCCAATTGTAAGAGTACGTCGGGAGATGGAGACCCTTGTAGACTACTGGTTGGAATATCAAATGAAGAGACAGTGTAGGGACCAAAGTGGTAGTTACTCAAAAGATTCAACACAGAACTGACAAAGGACCCAGTAATCCCCCTGTTGGTTCTGTCCACTAAGGACTAGAAATCAGAGACTTGAACAATTATTTGTATACTCGTGATCATAGTAGCATTGTTTGCCTTAGCCTAAAGTGGGAACAATCCGAATGCTTTTCAGTGAATGAATGTATTAAAACATATTCTTGATATGCACATTGGAATAGGATTCAACCCAGGAAAGGGAAGGAATTCTGACCTTTGCCATGTCTGTGTGACGCTTGAAGACCATCAATCAGTCCCAAAAGGACACACAGCGTCCCAGTCAACTCTACAGGGTGCCAAGCCAGAGCTGTAATCTGTATAGAGATTAGGACTGGTGGAGGGGAAAGAGAAGTGGTGTTTCACAGGTGCAGAGCCTTGGTTTGGAAAGAGAAGAGTTTTTGCAGTTGGGTAATGGTCACCCAGCAATCTGAATATATTTTATGTTTCCAAATTCTATGAGTAAACATGGTTAATATGATAAACAAAACTGTGATTTGATAAAAAACAAAGATGCTAAAAATGTGATATGGGTTGTGGTAGCAAATTTTAAACGTGATCCATTCTCCAGTTTCCTAAGTGTTTTGAGGGATCTCCAAAGCTGAATTTACACTCTGGAACTGTCCTGAGATACTCCCTTGCTGCAGTGAACAGGGTAAGAAGTTACCTGGGAGGAAGAAGCGCTTTGAAGAAGGTGGTACTCGTTTATAATACAATTCTGCATTGGCAAGAGTGCAGCGTGGCCAGGAAAATGAGAGCTGGATAATGTGGCCAAATCTAACAACAAGGAAAATAGAGGCCCGTGCTGGCACTGGAGACCAAGGCGGGCGGGAACCTTTATGCCTCTGCAGAGTTGGTGCTGGGTCACACTGCAGTGCCAGTGCCCTTGGAGCTTTGGAGCTGGAGGATGGCAATGCTCTGATTTGTGCTTTTAAAGATTCCCCCCGCAGCATTTGTGGAGAGAACCAGAAGGCGGCAAGAGCCTATAGTGTGCTTGTGACAGGTGGTTGCCATACTCAGCAACACTGAAGTCAGAGAGGAGGTAGAGCGTGGTTAGGAGGCAGGAGAATCAGCAGAACTGGAGGTGCGTTAGCCCAGTCCTCTGCATTTATGTATCAAACTGATCATGTTTCCCCATGCTGCAGTCACACCCCACCTGGAACTCTGTCACCTTGTCGGAGAGTTCTGCAGCCGTTTCTCGATTCACAGCCTTCTGTTCTTGCTCCTGAAGGCGTCTTTTACTTAGCAGCTAGATTTAGCTTTTTAAAATGCCATTTTATACATATAATTTCATTACTCAAGACATCGACAAAGTTTACCCACTGACTACACAATTAAACCCACATTCTTTAACCCAGCATCAGAGGCCCTTTGAGATCTGGTCTTTCTACACTTCAGAGCTTTGTTCTTTTAATATGGGGTCCATGGATCAAAAGTATTTCTCCAGGACCCTGACCACTAGCCACTTTTGGTGCCTCACCCCTCACCATTCCGTCACTTGTGTAAATGTCGCTTCTCCTCTATCCCGTGGCAGAACTCATTTCTTGGGATCCTTTCTTGTGCCTACAGTGCATGAGAAGCACCGTTGGCATTGTCTCTGCCTCTGAGAATGCTGGGATGCTCTGCCATCAATTGCTTGCAAGTTTTTACGTGTCAGTGAAAGCAGGAATCTTATTTCCTGTGGAGAGGATTCTCACGGTGCAGAATTTCTTGCTGATGATGTTGTCAATCACCTTGCACTTGCCCTGCTCAGAATGCTAACGAGGAAGCCTGAGAGACAGGGAGGCTGAAAAGGCAGGGTTGGGGAAAGTTCTCAAGCAGAGAGGGAAGGTCAGAAATGACTGGCATGCAACTGTTAGTGATAAGTGATTGTCAGCTTCATCTAACTTACAGCAGCAAATTATGAGTTCCTCAGGGACAGGCTCCCTTACGTCTTGGAAAGATTGCATGGTCACAAGATAGTTCAGGTCAGGGGATGCAGAGTCTGTTTTAAGGTATGGACTGTGGGATAAGCAACGGCGGGATGAAGACCGACAGGTTAGCAGGTCATTGTAGCACAGGAGAGCAAGTATGGTGAAACAAAGCTACGCAGTAGCTCAGAAAAAGGTGCATTCATGCTGCCCAGAGCAGTTCATTGCTACACAGCGGATCAGGCCGTGATTTGAGGGAGGGGCACTTCTCTCACCCCAGCACACCTCTGCATACATTGCTTTTCCTGGCGTCAGCTCCTTACATCTTGTTCCAAAGGCCTGGGCTCCAGCCACATGAACCCAGACTGTACTTTCCAAGCCAATCCTCTCACCTTGTGTTCTCACAGAGAGTTGTAGTTGCCCGGTCATCTTTAACATGCAGATAAAACACTGCAGGATCTCTGGGTCTGCTTCAGGAGGTCCCGGGAGATGCCAGCCCTGCTACCTCAGCCACAAGCCAAATTTCGAGTTGCAAGATTGCTGCGACTTCCCTGAAATACCTCCAGCCATATTCAAGCCCTCTATGATTTAGGAAAGGAGTGGTGTCTCCCCTTTAGGCTGCCCGTCAAGCTAGGACTGACTGTTCTCAGTGCTTCTGGTCTCTGCCTGCCAAGCAAGACTTCTTTCCCAATCTTCCCTTTCAGCCAATCATAGGTTCATTGCCAAAGGGGCTTGGTGCATTTCATGTCTGCCCCGAGTGGCATCTGTCACTGAGTGGAGCTGTAATAAATATTTGCTTGATTGAATTTGAACTGAACTTAACTATTATTGCATATGGGTGAAATATGTGTGCATTTTGTGCTTGTACACTTGTGTATGTGAGTGTGTGTATATAGATATATTAGCCCCATTTGATGCAGGCTGACCAAATCAGAATACACTGAAAACTATATCACTGTGTCACTACAAATTAAAATAAATTACAGATTATAGTTGTTGTGGTGGCAGAAATCACCTATGCTTGCTTGTAAGTTTGATGAGAACACTTTTTTACTTGTTGATCACTGAACCTCCAGAGCATAAGCCTGTGTGTTGCACTTAGCATGTGATCAATAAATATCATTTGAAAGTAAAACAAATGAAGAACATACTGAAATTTTGATTCTGTGAATAAAAGAATCCCTCAGAAATGGAGTCGTTAAAATCATGTTAAAATGCAGCTCAGTGGCAGAACAGTTGCCAAACATGCACAAGGCCCTGGATTTGAGTCCCAGCACCAGAAAACAAACCATCACCACCACCAAAAAAAAAAAAAAAAAAAAAAAAAAAAAAAAAAAAAAATCTGCATTTTGCTGCAATAAGACAAAAACATGCAAACCAATGAACGATGACCTGGGTATTTCCACACAAGAAAAGTAGGACCAAAAACATCTGAAATTCCTTGCCCTATAATGAAAGCATTCTTTTTTTTTTTTCATTTTAAGAGCATTTTCATATTTAGAAACAAAACAAAATCTAAGATATTTTTCCGTGTGACTTGTCCTTTTCCCTCACATACCACATTGTTTTAGATCAACAAAGATTTTATTTGGTTGTTATTAAATATCAAAAGGGGCCTTCTTAATTGCAAACATACAAGCCTTTGCCTTGCCGTTCCCTGTTTCTGCTGATGAGGGAGGTTTGCAGCCTTATTTGGTACGAAAATAGCTCTGCTTCCTGACCATTATCATCTTTGTAGGGTGGGCCAGGGATAGTGCCTTTAAAACACAGGAAGTTTAGCACTTCACAGTCTTCAAACAGAACTTCTGGTTACAAAGACGCTCCTTTTACAGAGGAAAACTTGCTAGAATGTTTATCTTCTTCGGTCAGTTGACATTGCAATACTATATTAGTGCATTAGGACTTCCATATAGTTAACAGCACAGAAGTGTCGCTTGGTTCTGTTTCTTTTATTGAATGATGTTTTTCAGAACAATCCATACTTTTCTGTTGCTGAGTCAGCGTCACAGTCATTACGGCATAGGTGACTCCCATGATCAGTAAAAAACCTTTTACAAGCTCATCTTTTCCCTATCAAGAATTATGGCGTAACTTGAGTATTTTTAAGCGGTAACTTAATAGCAGTGTTAAGCACTGGGAATAGTCTGCTAAGCACTGTACCTACCATTAAGTTCATCCAGTATAAAGACGATCTCCACTCTGCAGGCTCACAGAGTAATCCTTTCACCATTTCCACTTGTGCTGGACCTTATGGTGCAAGGATTAGTGACTTGTTCAGGTTTTGCATAGTCAGAACTGGAGGTGAAACTCTGATTGCCTTCTTGGCTTAAAAGCCCACACTTACTTCTAAAGAAGCTTTTTTAAGAAAACTAACACTACTCGGTTAAAATGTAATGACTCTGTGCAAAACATGCCACACTAGGATTGCCTGCATTTTAGGCAATAGAATTTTAATTTGTTCATTTATTCAATAAACATTTACTGGGCTTCTGCTATGTACTTGATGGTATGCCAACTGCTAAAAATAGAGATATTGGGGCGAGGAGAAAAAGACAATTACAAGACAAATGCAATTTAAAATTGCCAACATTCTGCTGGTTTTGAGCTACAAAAATGCCAGTTCATGGGAGTTAAACTAAACACGTTACCCAATAAAGAGAGCAGCAAGGTTTACTCCAAATAGTCTGGCTTAGTCTTTTAGGAAAGGCAAGATCCCAGTATTATTTCTCTAAATTTTAATGATGACAGATATGCAGACAAAGAGTGTTTCTTTTGGAGCAATAGGATCCTGGAGTTTTCTGGGATTCTCCTGGCACAAAGACCCAGAATGGAGCTGGGCCTTGGGGAGACAGGCCTGAATCCTCAACCATGCTCTGTCCTCAAGGGAGCTCTGTGGCAACTGGGATCATCTCATCTCTCAGCTACATCCCCCTTATGTGGAATAACACAGAGAATTAACAGGCTATTTCAGAGGCTCATTCTTCAGTAAATGAACATATCAGGAACTTGCCCAGTAATTGCCATTCCTCTGGCACAGAGCCCCTTCATTTTTACTGAAAGTTGAAGATGTTGGGCCAGAAACAATTAACATTTCAGATTCCAACTGGACTCGAGTTGTCATCTGTCATTATGATTTCAATTCCTTCTAACTAAATTTATGTTTTGGATTTCACAGTTTCTCTGGGGGCCAGGATGGCAGTTTGTCAACGTGCAGGATATTTTTTGGAGTCTGTCTTTGGTAACACTGTTCTTGTTAATCTCCATATCCCAGATTCAAGGGCTTCCTGAGAAATACCTTGGCTCTGGTCTTCTCTCTAACACAGAAGTGACAGACCAAACACCAAACCAACCTGGTAAATTCTGAGGTCACTCAAACTGGCACTGCACTCCAGGAGTGGCCAGAGCCAGTGGGAAATGATTCAGGATCACGGTACTCCAGCACAAGTATGTGCCTGTCCTTTGCACAGGCCATAATGAGGGGCTTGCCTTGCTGACCTTCCTGAACAACTTACTCTGGTTCAACAGTTTCCAGAGAAGAGATATCTTTTGCTTGGAGTCTTTACCAGTCTCTGAACCCATGGGGGTACCTAGGACTGGACATCACTCTCCATCCTACGCTCGCCACTAGATTCAAGTGAAATGAACTAAATTCAAATTAACTAAATATATATAGTTCTTGCTGTTTGCTGGGCTCTCTGCTAGGCTGTGGGTATAAAATGACAAGCTAAGTAGAATTGATTTCTGAAGTTTTGACCCTTACAGCAGTGTCTTTCAGAGGAAACACTAGTTTCAAGTGAAACTAAAGCTGTGACAGTTGAATGTAATCGTGGATCTGAATACACAGTGTTGTGAGGGAGTATTGAGGAAGATCTGATTTACATGTGTCCTCACCGAGAAAAAGTCAGAAAGGCAGAGAATGAGAAGAAGGGGCAGAAAGGGCAGAAGCAGAGAGCAGGAGCTTGGCACTCCGTCAGGGAAGATGAGCCCAGTGCCTGGGGGCAGCTCCCACAGCCCAGACCCTGCTCTTAGGAGGGGCACGGTGGGTGAAGCCTTTCAAAGAGATGAAGAGCAAAATGAATCTGTGTCTTTATTATTTTAATTTTATTTTATTACTATATGTTTGCAACCCACAGGGTTATGCTTGAGTTTTTCCCCTTCCTTTCCTCTCCTCTCCTCCTCCTTCCTCCTGCTCTGGCTCCCCTCCCTTTTTGATACTTGTTCATATTTGTCTTAGCTCATGTTATGGCTACACCTGGAATCTGCATCTTTAAAAGCTCACCCTGGTTTCCGTGTGCATAGTAGCTAGAAAAAGGGGTGTAATGATCCCACTGCTATGACAAGACATGCGAGGAAAGCAGCGTACATGAGGAAAGGCTTGTTTGGGTCTCAGGCTTAGATATTTCAGTGCGTGGCCGTCGGTACTGCTTTTTCTGGGCCTTGGTGAGAGAGCACCATGGACAAAAGTGCGACAGCTCCAAGCTGCTCACCTCATGGCAGCCAGAAGGCAGAGAAGGATAAAGACCCCGAGAGAAGGGGATGGAGGATGAAACGCAGTCCCCATGGTCAAGCCCCAGCCCACTTTCTTGGATCAAACCCCACCTCTTATTTCATCATCTTCCAGTAATGCTCTAAAATTATGGTCTGGTCAATGGATTGATTCATCTGATGAATCCAGTTGCCCCCCTCAAAAGCCCAGTGCTGGCAGCTAGGCCTCTAGCACAGGAGGTTTCAGGAAAAGGCTGTTTCAAATCCCAACCATAAGAAGGTGACAGTGGAAACACTGAACAGCGGTGCCAATCAGATTAAAAGAGTGATGTGATAAGGAGAAGAGTTACAATGGGGTGGCGAGAAGAGCAAAATGGCAAAGTGTACCCACAAAACATGCCATATGCAAAGTCCTTGGGATACAGAGCAAAAAGGCAGGTCACCACAAGGCAGTGTAGGAAACAACCTGTAATAGTGGCAGGGTGAGGGTGGTAGGAAGTGGGTTTGCGGGTTTATTTCTGAGCCTCTGATATTCCCTGAGGGATGCCAAGAGATGGAAGGGATCTTGGATTCCTTCCTGACCCTACCCCTGACCCACTGTCCAAGAACCCAGCCTGATCAGCGGCACTGACCTCAGCCTACAAACACGGATCCTACTGGCCTCCCATGCCCTGTGGACTGCAGCCATCAGCTACCACATCCACAGGCAAAGCAGTGGCATGCAGTGTGCTGGCGTGCTCTGGAGGGCTCCCCCGTGGACAGGAGGCCGTGGGGTAAGTAGCCCTTGCTCCTTGCAAAGGACTGGTTGTGTGTCTTGCGTGGCTCCTTCGGAGAACCCTCTTCCTGCGGAACACTTCGCCCTTTGAGCCCAATTACTAAGCCAGAAATGACTCCATGCTTTAAAGGTCTCCCGGTGACCAAATTTGGCTCTGAGAACTGGACCGAAACATTTTGTGTGAGTCATGTCTATCTGCCTCATTGTCGGTGATTAGTTGTTATGGAAACTACACAGCAGAGTCCAAGGGTTCAGAATTTCTGGAGTTAGCCTCAAATTTACCAAAGTTTACTCAGCAAACAAGTTTGCTTACTTTGTTAATCATTAGTTATTTCCTGAGCTGTTCAAATTGCAAGCTGAAGAACTCTCCTTGCCTAAAGCCTACCCTGGTCTTTTCTCATGAATCAGAACAATCAGCTGCCCTCATGTTCTGCCCTTTGTGTGGCACTGATATTTAGAAGGATTCCAAAACACTTCCGGGCTTATCTGACTGTAGGATCAAAGCTGCTCCCTGGCTCATGGAGCAAGCACACATGTGAAAGAAATTTAAAAGAGGTCTTCACCCTATCTTTTCTGGGCTCATCCCAATCTTGTGACAAAATCTCCAGTCACATCTGGCCACTGGGGTTGCTCTGGGAAATATGCACATCACAAAGATGTTTGAGTTTTGCCACTTGAACTTCTTTGATGATATCTACAAATCTCTGAAATTTGGACACAAGAAAATCTGATGTCGATGAACGTCCTGCTTATTCAAAGATTAGAATGAGTTTTGTGACATTTCAAGCAAGGAATCCGACGCAGGCAGACCTAGCTTTGTAGACTGGCTTTCCACCTCAGAGCTGCTTCGTGCCTTTGTTTACCTAGCTATGATAATGACTCCACAGTGCTTGTAGTTTGTCATTAATACTATGCAATATTTGAAAGCGAGAGCGTATTGTTTTAATTTTTATTTTTATTAGTACTTGCTCACCCCGTCCCCCTTTACCTCTATGTTGACATTCAGTATACAGATTATTTAGATCAGGTCTAGGCAGATGCTTATCAAATGCTACTTACTTTTCCTTTTTAATTAACATAGCTGCTCTGTGGCTACTTTTGGTGCATTTCAGTAGGATGACAACCGATGAACCAACAAATTTGAGAGGAAAGAGTCTTAACTGAGGGAGTGGGAGTCCATTTTAGGTGTGTCATCTAACTTCAGCCATGTGATTTAACTTGGTTGAGCAAATCGATGAGCTCTGACCAAAACTGAGGTGACCGGAATAAACATTCCTGAACCCAGACATTTTTGCTGATGAAAAGGAAGCAGCATGTATGACTGCTAACTCAGATGAATTTATAATTTAATTTTTTAAAGTTGCACAGAAGAAAGAATAACAATGTGAGGAAGAGTGTGGAGTGGAGTGACAGATAAGTCAGGTGGAATTCAAATCATAATTCAGTGTCTTTGGTCTTCTGCAGCCTGTGCACGCTCACAGATGACATTCACAATAATAAATTCAATTTGATTCCCTAGCGCCTTCTCCCTCCACAGGACCTGTGCACCCTGAGGAATCTCGCTCTGATATTCCTGTGGACCAGCAGGTGCAGTCTCACCACGTCCTCTTGGTCATCAGCTCAGGCTTTCTTGTTGATCCTGTGACCCGTGCAGTCAGTGAGCGGAAGCCACACATCACTACCAGGGAAGTTGATGCTCTCGGGAGGGCCCGGCCCCATGCAAGGTGGGATGCTTTCTCCTGATACGATGCATGATGCATCCTGGCCCTGCTTGCTTCCATCCGGAGTCCACGCGCATGCTCTGTTCTGCATGGTGGTGAGACCACGCCTCTACCAGGTTCATTCCATGTCACAGTCTAGCGCGGGACCTCGCGCTTGAGCTCTGAATGCCGCGGCTTCATCAGAACAACGCTTGCCAGCTTCACGCGCGGGGCCATTGGCACAGAGTTCAGCCCTGATCCAGGGCGGCACACGGACCATGTAGTCTCTGCACCATCTACTTCGTTTGCCCTCCCTCAGCCCAGCCTTCAGGAAAATGGAGATGGAAGTCTTGAAGACAGTAAAACTAGGGCGAAATTAGCATCTGGTGCTCAACTTTCCTGTTATACTGCATCTCACAGGCTCTGTGTAGAGCCAACACAGACGGGAAAATAGGAAGAGCTGAAGCTCAAATCAAATTTATAGTCTTATTTTGTAAATGTAATGACATAATTACATCCAAATATATATTTTCTAAGCTTCAGTTTATTCTTTTGTGGAACAGAGATAATTTCACCTTTGTGAAGAGTTGCTAAAATAGTAAATCAGATGATGAATACACAATCAGTGTGGAGCCTAGTACATGGTAGGAACTAAACACAGAAGTTTTTTTTTTTTTTCTTACTAGAACATTAAGGTGAACTTAAACTATTTCCAAATAACTGTGGTTGAGAATTAGCTATTTAGTACTCACCAGGTGACGCTCGCACCCCATCGCATCCAGGGTCTGTGCCCTGTCCCTGGCCCGGGGAGAAATCCGGGGACTGAACACACAAGCATACACCAGGGGCTACTCCTGAGGCCTCCTCAGCTCAGCAGAACGGAGGTGACAACCAGCTTACCAGACTGAAGAAGAGTCCCTACTACTCAGGAGGAGAGTTTCAGGATGGAAGTGTGACCCTTCATGCAGCCTAAGTGAGAGAATGCTTGGGTCATAGGCTTGGGGATGCAGGGGGAGCTACATAGAATGTCCTGGCATCCTCTGGGAGACTTGAGGTTACACAAGGGCTGTTTTCTGTTGAAGGAGGTCAGGCTTGGAGGGTGCTAGGCTGGTTCTTTTAACGATCTTGGGATGGTTGCCACGTTTGCAGAAATCACAGCTAGCAAAGATAGTTTTTACAAGAGCAACTTTTAAAAAAGAAATTTAGTAAAAACCTTCCTAAATCACCACCCTAAAGGCATAAACAAACTGGACTTTTGCAACAGAGAAGAAAGGAGCATAGATATGGTAGGTGAAAAGTAGCAGTTTTGTCACTGGTGCTGATGAGAATCAAAAAGTTTGTTTTTTGAAAGAATAAACAAACTAGGAAAGCCTTTAGCGAGACTTACCAAGAGAAAGGGAGAAAAGATTCGTATTGATGCAATTAGAAATGAAAATAGGCAAAATCATAACAGACACTCTCAAGATACATAGAAGGTAGCAACTACTTTGAACATTGCACTCCAACAAATTGACAAATATTTTGCTGAGCATAGTTAGCTGGGCCTGAGGTCCAGGATATACCATACCACCGTGTTCTTTAGGGCCACTCCCTCTACAACTTTCCCATCCAAAGCTGGCTCAGAATCCCAGGAAACAGTCCCATAAAACACAGGCTGAAATCTCAAAAGATCAAAATACTTAACATTTAAATTCACTAAAGACAAATCCACCAAATCACATTCCTGAACGATCAATTATCTCAAATATTGAAATTCTAAAATCTGAGATCTCAAAAACTGAAATTCTCTTCAAAATAAAATTGCAATTCCCTTCCCATGAAGGAAGGACACAAGCTAGATTCTGGGAAAAGACTTCGTTTTGTGCTGTATGCAGGATCATTGCATCCTGTTACTAGAATGGATACTTAATGATGAAAGATGAAAATGTAAAAGTCATTTAACTATTGGTGCTGCTAAAACAAAGAAAATTTAATCACACTAAATTGCAATGACCTAGCAACAACCAGACTATCAAAGGGACAGTATGTACTCACAAAATGTATAAACCACACCATCCTTTAAATACTACTGCTATGTGTGATTGGAAAATCAGAGAAGTAAAATGTAGGCAAAACCACAAAATATCTCCCTTGAATCAGTTGCTACTTCTGCCTCTCCAACCATGGCACCATATGTAGTTTAAAAAGACGCTTCGTCAATGTGTAGTGGTGCACACCTGCAGTGCCAGCCCTTGGAAGACAGAGACAAGAGGATAGCGAAGAGTTTGAGGTCAGTGGGGCTACATAAGTAAGTTCAAGGCCAGCCTGAACTATATAGCAAGACCTGTTTCCAAAATAGTAACAATAATAATAAATAGTACAAAAAGACCCTCTGCCACAAAATAAAAAGAATTTAATAAGCTCATCACCTACTGCATCAAAGACGTTTGCTGATACAGTTTTCTCTATTGCTACTAAACACATTGAATGGAGAGCTATTCTTTGTTAGGGATTTGCCTGAGAAGATAGCTGTAATGGTTTGTATCAGGTTCTATCCTAGATCCCCAATCTCCCAAATGAGTATATGGCAGAGGTTAAATAAAAAGAGACAAATTGTATGATTTTTAGGGCTCCAGGAGGTTCAAAACCATTTAATTAAGCTCGAGGCTTTGAGGGTAAAGACAAAGGGTTCTCTGGATCAGCCCACTTATATTAGGACCAAGGATAAAGGGAAGAGAAACTGAGGAAAGTGCAGGCGATGAGCAGGACCTTGGGAGTCACTTCAGGGACATCTCCAAGTCATGAATCAAGTAATTTAGTAGCACTGTCATATCATGAAGACATGATAGAAGTGACCATGTAGGAGTAATCTTTGCAGCTGCAGTCTCCACCTTGTTAATTGGGGTTGGAGCCAGAGTGTCCGCAGTTGTGGCCTTATCGTGCCCTTTGAGGTATCTCTGGCCTCACAGGCCACTACAGGTCTCAGCCAGGACCAGTGATTCATAGAGGTTCACTTACTATGAATCAACTCCCGTCGCCAGGAAAGGGGCATAGGCCTAGGACAGACTCACAGATAAACATAGAAAGCCAATTAGTAAAATTTAAATCCTCCTCAGGGTCGCTTCGTAGTGTTCTCCAACAGGTTTGTACAATGTGTCAACTTGAGAAGTCTAGAAGCTTCAATAGGTAACTCAGGTGTACTACATCCTAGTGTGTAGAGGGCACGCCCTGACCTTCTAGGATGGTGTTTATTGCAGGCACTTGAGAAGTTCAGAAGTTTAAGTGATTGAGCAGGGGGCCAAGGTCCTAACTTTGTACACATCCTGAGCCTGTGCCAGAGGAGGCATGGGGATGGTTTGAGTGCTACACGCACCAGAGGGCAGGTAACCTGCAAACAATGTAAGGAAAGAAAAACACTGTTCTCCCGATTTTGCTGTTGTGTTCTGCCACCACAAACTGTTGCCTCTCTGCTTTGGAGCCTGCTGATTGTGGACAGAAACCTCTGCGAACTGTGAGCTAAAAAAGTGTTTTTTTCCTTAATGCTGCATATTGGTTATTTTATCCCAGCGATGAGAGAAAAGTCACCAACACAGTAATTTTCCTATATTTACCATTAAATCTAACATGGACAAATTAATCCACATCCATTTTGGCTAATACGTGCCATGCTCAGAACTGTCCCCACTATTTTTCAGTAATCAGCAAACTAGGTCCTTATTTGATCCAAAAATTCTAGAATATATCCACTCAGCTATGTATCAGTGACTGGGAAGAGGGAGCACTTGATAAATGCTTATTTGAAGACTTGATGGACTTTGAAGATGGAGTTCAATGGAATCCCCAAATTATAATGACGTAATTTTGTACAGGACTACTAAAAGTAAATTTGAAGTTATACCATTGAAGTTTGATTTTCATATTCACCCTAATTCTTTTGGTGAAAAATTCAAATGAGTGAATTAGCAGAGCAAGATGGCAACAATGAAAACTTCAATTGAAAAATACGTCATTTGTCTGCATTGGCATTCTTTGTACCTGATGACCCTCCAGGGGCTTTTAATGAATAAAAGTCAAATTTTATATAAAAAAGCCCATGAAATTATTGATTGGAAAATAGTGTTGTATACAGTAGGATGAGAAGACACACAGAACTCTTGACAGTATGGTTTCTGCTCAATTGAAACAGGAAATACTCATGCCAGTGTACACTACATAATCAAAGAGATTTAAAAGAGCAACAATTTTACAGAAATTTAAAAGTTATTTTCCCATAATTACAGTTTTCAGATTCTTATCTTTGAATATTTTATCATTTTAGGATTATGACACTCTAGAATGTGTCTTTGGCTTTGTGGGATTAAAAAGTTTGTCTTTGATTATACAGCATGTATACAGAGAGGTGTGATGTATACATGGGTTTGTTTTTCTCCCAAAGCATATGTTCTTTGGGAATATTGTCTGCTGGGTAGTGCAGAGAAAATATGTGACTTGAGTCACAGTTCCTACAGTTATAAGATTTACAGGTTTCTTAACATCCTTGGGAGCTGTGTTTTGCTGTTTGCTTTTTATTATAACAGGACTGACAATACTCTTTGCCATTGTTTATAAAAATTAAGACTGCATAACTTCTAGGTCATTAACAAGGTAGAGAGTTGCACTACAAGTAAAATCTCTTACATTTCAATTATTACTATTTTATTTGTATTTTCTGTGACAAATATGTAATATTACCAAACAGTTTTCCTGACAGTAGATATAACTGTGTGGCAGTAGATATAACTGTGTAGACAGTAGATATAACTGTGTGTCTGTTTACATATATGTCCAAAGTAGAGTGATTTATCTGCCAGTCAGCATGAAAATAGAGAGTAAGGAGAGAGGGGATCTAAGCACTCTGTTAATCACCTGCCAAATCAGTTGTGCAGTCTGTCCAGCAACTCTTACGAGCACCTCCCAGATAAGGTCACAGGTAGGCACTGCACACTTGACTCAGATCCTCTGAGAATACTAGTTTAGCTACATAGCTACTAAAGCTCCTCTTATTATGGTTTTGGGTGAGAAGCTTCCTCAGCTATTCATGAGGACATGATTGAAATAATCTCTCATTTTCAGCCAGATCTTTCTTCTAAGCTCCGTATTCTCATATGAACCTGAAAAGTTGAGTTATGCTTCACATCACACAGTGATATGACCCTTATTCTAACTCAGGTTCTTAGTCTTAGTTAGGACTGTACCAGATCCACTTTTCCCTTGGTCCCCAGGTTCATTTTCCCCTACTTTGTCCTCGTCCATGTGAAGTCTGTTGCACACACTTTCTCCCCTCTATTATGCTGCATGTCATATGTTCACTCATGCGCTCCTTGTTTAGCACCAGAAACATCATGATGCATACACAGCAGGAGAGCAGGGACCACACATCTCTTTTTTCTCCTTACCAGTGCCTGATATGGTGCTTAGCAGGTGCCAGTGAGGCTCTGAGGGATTAACGAAGAGCAACGTATTGTATCTCGGATGTTTAGAGATGCTACATTACTATTTCTAAAGAGGCTGGAAATCTTCTAAAAGAAATTGCTGGGATGCTTTAATATAGGAAACATTCCTTTTAAAGTGACTTGTTTGCTGAATGAATTCCGAGATAGAATAGCTGACAGTGAGGAAATACTATGCTGTTTTTAATTTCTGAATAAAAAAATGATATATTAGGAGATCAGAATAACAGTGGAAAAATGCTAAACAAC